TTAAAAAAAAATTGTTCACTATTCAAAAGTGCTTAAAATAAGTTTATTTGGATAAATTATTTTCTATTCTATTCTATTCTATGCCTCTGAAGCTATATGAGTATTTTTTTACTTTCCAAAAGGACCCCGTATTCTTGTATGCTCAAGGGCCCCAGCCTAGTTTAAGTCGGCGGTGAGGTAGGTTCAGATCCGGCTCGAAGGACCATTTATTGTAGGGGCCTTTGTTGCGGCGCAGTACATTTGTATTTGGAATTCGATCCTACCACTTTATAAGCAGGATCTAATAATTGCATAGAAATTATACTAAGTAGTTCAGTCCGTATGTATTTTGTATTTAGACTATTTTTATAAATTACTTTGCTGTAAAATAGTTTTTTATATAATATACGGAAAATATAATCATGAAACTATTCCTGTGAAAAAATTGATATCACGGAAAATAATAATAATTATTTTTTCTTATATTTTTACTTGAAGAATGTTATAATATACCTATCTCATAATATTCTGTAAGTAAATACATCTATACACAAAAATAAAATTGGAGTGTCTGTTTGTAATATTGAAATAACCGTTTTTTACTACATGCATATGAATATAAATAACCATAATAACATTTTTACAATTTTTGTCTGTCTGTCTGTTCCGGCTAATCTCTGAAATGGCTGAACCGATTTTGACGGGACTTTTTGCCAGTTAGCTGATGTAATAAGGAGTAACTTAGGCTACTTTTATTTTAGAAAAATAAAGTTAAATTCCAGGAGTAAGTTGCGGGTACAGCTAGAAAGATTATTCTATATATATTAGTTCACTCGATTTTTATTGTGTTAAGGCTCTGTTTAGCGCAGACATGTGAGTGCTAAAGATGATACGATGAATGTATTGCAAATAGAAGTAATTACATTAACACCCTACTGTCATTCCGATACTGTGAGGTTATTGATCCGACGTGAAATATTCGTTCCAACTGTACCTACTAAGAAAACTGTACAATTGATGTATGAACTTCGCACTGCTTGTACAGTTCTCTACGCGTTATGATTGTGTGATGAATAAATTCAAGATTGCAGAAAAACTATGGCTTCTCATGTATTTAAATTAAATTGATATACAGGGAGCGTCGTAGCATAGTGTTTTTATATATTTATTATTCCAATATTACAAACAGACACTCCAATTTTATATATATGTATAGATTTTAATTGACGATAATGGAGTGGTGCACCAACCTGCGCTAACGGTTTATGCTGGCGGAGCACCAGTGGAGAATGATAAGATGAGCATGAGGGTTAGTTAGCCCATCAAATGCACCAAGAATTTATCACGTTGGTTTCCAGGGGGAACCGCGTGGAGGTCAACCTGACATGGTACATTGCTAGCAATAACATCATCAGTCCACATTACTAACAACCCACTTTCCCCCCACTCTAGTGGTTTAGTTTGGGTAAATGTTGAGAGTTCAAATGTAGATGACACAAACAATACTGTACATAAATGTATATTTTTAATACTTCGGTTATTAAAACAGCAAACTAAATTCATAGTTGGCTGTCATATTAGATTCAAATTCAATATCAATAATCATTTATTCATGTAGGACATTTTAGCCGTATATGAACGTAATTTTTTATATTACAACTTTTTCCCTACCGTCCAGTTCAGTATATAGATCCAATTGAGAAGAACTGGCAAGTAACTCAATTGAATATTTTGTTTATTTTTTTATTTACAATGTATATTTACATAAGTATCTATGTCTAACATTAAATGAAAATCCTGTGCATGAACAACTATTGCCATGCACGCTCGTCATTCAAGTAATCTTTTAGTGAGTATTGGGCTTTGCCCAATAAATATGATGTTTTGAATTTATTTAAGGGTACATTCAGTATATCCTTATGTATCTTATTGTAAATTTTTATACCTATTCCCATAAAAGACCTGTTGTGGACTTCATAGTGGACTCAATAGCTTCCTTTCATGTATAAAGAACCGACATATAAATATATATATTCATACATATACAATATTATCCACCACAAGACCTATCGACTTTTTCTAAACGTTACTTGGGGACAGCAAGTTTATCTTTAAATCTAGTATTAATAACAACGATCTTAACCATCTTAGAAGTTTGGAGCGGGAGGAGAAAGGTCACCTTGCCCAGTTCCTGGCTCGTCAGTTGACCGCGGAGTATGGAAGTGAGCTGGAATATTTATCATATTGTATGTAGTATTCCGCGAGGTTATCTATATGTTAAACGGTGATATATTAATATATATCAGTTGACCCCACGTACAAACAAAAAATATCGATATTTTATTTTATACTAAACGTGTACTGAACTGTTTTTATTCTGTAAATGTATAATAGTTATATCAGACAACAAGGAGGTGTATCTATATCTATACTGCTGATCTGAGTAATGGAGTGAATGGAATCTTATTCACTTTGTAATTTAATTTAATGAATATTATTTTTGAATAGAATAGAATAGAAAATCATTTATTCAAATAAACTTACATTGAAGCACTTTTGAATAGTCATCACATTTTTACTTCTGCTTGTTAAATAGGCCGGCCATTTTATTACTGATTATTATGTCTGTTTGTTTGGTTACCACATTTACCTAAGCTAGATTATACAGATTTACCTAATTATAATCTATACATATAAATAAAATTGTAAAAAATGTTATTTTGGTGTATGTACCGTATTTATATTCATATGCATGTAGTAAAAAACGGTTATTTCAATATTACAAACAGACACTCCAATTTTATTTATATGTACAGATTATGTTATCTGTGCTACAAGTAAACTATAGTTGAACGTATTTTACAAGTACAGCGTCGTGATTTTTTTTATAACGATGATGGCAATTGAGCATACGGCCCGTCCGTTGGTAAACGATTACCGGACCGTACTGTCGTCCATTCTTAATGTTTTTAATCAATTGAATCCTAACAAACTGCGTGCTAGACCCGTACCTTGAAATAACCAGTTTTTACGTTTGTACGTTGTTGTAAACACAACGATTGCGTCCGTACAGGGACAGATGGTCAGTAAAGATTAATTATTGTTTTTTTATAAATTAGATTAGATTAGTAAAAGTTGATTAAACCGTTGGTTTAATCAACTTTTACTTTTTTCGTAATATTATGTATTTTTTTTCTGTTTTTCCCCTCGTTGTCATATTTTTCTATCCTTTTCCCTTTTTCTTGACATCTAAATCTAAGACATATTATTCTATGGCTCGTTCGTTTTTAACAGGTATAGAAGTTAATACCATTGACTTTTGGCATCTGCGTTTCTTATTAGTTTTTGAAGCAGCCATAGTTGGTATTGGCCATATTGCGTATGGCGAAATGGTAACTGTTGCTGAAGATAAATTACCCATCTCTTGTACGTTAGACTGTATAGAGGTCGATAGTACTTGGCAGGTATGTTCTGTCATAGAAGAAGGAGCTGGTGTACATAATGAAGGCATATTAGTATGGCTGCTATGGCTGGCATCAAATTTTGTAGCAAACTGTGAAATATTACCTTTTTATTAGGTTTAAAGCGGATAACTTATCCGCTTTGCCCAAAACGTGTATTTCTAAGCATACCTACTTTTCCTAACATTTAAATACAGGCTCAATATAATATTAATATCACAAATAATACTATAAAACATTGTTAATCTGCAAAACAAAATCATTCCTGGGTTGGCTAACAGTAAAAACAAATGAAATGAGAACAAGCCTGATCGAAAACCTCAACGATGGAAATGCAACTGCCCTGCGTTTTACAAAAAATATATGTGCAAACATATTATTGGATTAGTCATACACTTAAAGCTGGCCCCCCTCGCCCCACAAGCAAAATGTGCTTATCGGCCAGAAATTTTATTAAAATATATTGATACTACCTGTGGAAATTAAGATCCTTGGGGGAGGCATATCTCTAGTTAAGTAGTAGCAATTTTATGAAATTATCTAGTGACATCACATGATTTATTGGTGATCTCTTTCAATTAGTTTACTTCAATACTTATTAGAACCATTTGTAATATTATGTTATCTGTGTTAGAACAAACCTATTATAATACATACAAAAACATTTATTTGCTACTAGACCCTATATCTCCATGGTTTTAGTTGATTTATTATGAAATTGATTTTAGATTGTTTACCTTTTGATTGATACCCTTTTTTATCGTATAGTTTTACTGCCTTGTCGCCCTTCAACAAGTCACACATCTAACAAAGTCAGTTGCTGTCCTCTCAAATAAATGAGACAAAGGATAGTTATATAATTAGTGTAATTAGTCAGTGGGGGTAGAGGATTGTCAGTAGTGTGGATTGACGACCTCATTGTTACCAATGTACCAATGTAATATATGTTTGTGAAGTTGACCTCCACGCGGTTCATCCTGGAAATCATCACGATAAATTCCTAGTGAATTTGTCAGGATGGGCTAACTGACCTGACCTTTTGCTCATCCTAGAGCCAATGGTGGATCATTGGCTCTCCACCAGCGTAAAACGTTAGCGCAGACGGGTGGACCATTTGCTTTATATATATAATTCTCGTGTCACAATGTTAGTAACGATACTCTTCCAAAAACGGATTGTCCGATTTTTATAAAATTTTATATGCATATTCAGTAGGTTTGAGAATCGGCTACTATCTTTTTTTTATACCCCTAAGTGTTAAGGTGTTATTTTTATGGACAACTTTTTATTTTTATAATATAGCATTAAAACACATACGACCCTAAAATTTTCACCCTTCTGCCAACCAACACTTATTTTTTAATATTATTATTAGTATTTAAATTTATATATTAAGACAACGTGTGTACACATTAAAATAAACTGTCATGTGGACAGGCCAGGTTTTTAAAAATATGTTAAAAATGTGTATACTTTTGAATATAGTGTTCCAGACACTTTGACAAAAAGATTCACAGTTAAATGTAATGAAATATTAATTTATTGAAATACTGTTATCAGCAGAGGCATGTCTGCAGCAGTGGACAGCGCGCTGGACACGGCGGGACTCTCGCGGACATCGGACACCTCACTCAATGGCCTCGACACGCAGCCAGGTGCCAGCGACGGCAACTGGGAGCAACATTTCCTACCACCACCACTTAGATTAGATGACCATGTCAGGGCACAGAAGGTTCGTAAGTTATTAAGTCTAAACAATTGTATTTTGATTCCAATTACGTATTTATATTTTTTTTTATAGACGGTCTTGGTTGTCTATTTTAACACATCGCCGTACTTCCGATGGTCGCGGGTTCGATTCCTCGCACAGCGCAAACATTTGTATTCATGAGTATGATTGTTTGTATCGGTCTGGGTGTTTTCTATTCGTAATTACATACGTATAATATTATACTGTACAAAAAACGATGTATTTGTATCAGTTGTCTAGTACCCATAACACAAGCTTTACTTGGGTCTAGGTGGCCCCGAGTGAATTGTCCTGAGATTATTATTATTATTATATGTATACATCTGCCAAATTCGCATTTGCCGCCCCCAAAACTTGCCCAAACCAAGCATTAATGATGTTGTCCTCTCATCCAGTAATATAACTTGATTAAAAAGTTTAAATTAATTGAAAATAACTCGAGACGAAACATTTATGTCAATCAAACACATTGCTAGCTTGCATTCAAATAACTCAAGACTCATTGGTAGAGATGTGTCAACTCGAGTTGTGCTTAATTCGAGTTAATTCGAGTTGAATTCTCTCAACTCGAGTTGGAAGAAATGCCGGCTTTTAAGATACAATCCCTTGTTTGGGACATTTTCGAATCGCCAGTGAATGGACGTGTAAAATGTAAGAAATGATCGGATACATTTTAAATTAAAAAAAACTGTTCTTTACAGGTAACTCGAGTTACCTGAATTTCAACTCGTGTTAACTCGAGTCATGTTTATTACGAGTTAGCACATCTCTACTCAAACGCATTGTTCAATGATCACACAGGCCTGTCCGCAATACATCTAACAGTTAATTAAAGTCATCAGTCCAATCAATTCGCGTACATCGCTAAATTGTTATGGATAGCACTCTGATTGATGACTGACAAGCAATGTGCCGTGTCCTCGTTCTCTGTTCTGCGCTTAAACCATACTCAAAGTACGATAAATAGAGCACAATGGACGAAGAAGTGCCCCTCTTCGATCGATTCCCCGTCCAATTCAAACGAGGATCAAAGTTACGACGGCCTGAACCAAGGTTCGAACCCCTAGCGGTGCTCTCACACTAAGGTCGTATCCGTCAGGTGGGAGTTGGCCTTCAGCCGCTCCATAAGTCCTTCCTTTGGTTTGGAGTGCCATCTGCACTCGCCCCCTATCGTTCGGTGAAGCTGTAAAGGCCAGCTGCGGCCAACAGCATTAGAGCAGTCCGAAAAACGAAACCTATTGGCTCTTGACTGTTATCAACAATTTATCTCCCTAGTACTAGATATTACTAGCTGCCCCACTGTTTCACCCGCGTTTTCAAAAATATCTTTTGTTGTAAATTTTACGTAGCGAATAGTACGTACGTAGCAACTTTAGTGTTGGGTTGCAGATCGAGTCCCGTCTGTCGGAGCTGGTGTTATCTGGAGCGACGCTGCGCCGCATCTCGCAGGTGTTCGAGCAGGAGATGGAGCGCGGCCTGAGGGGGGAGCCCTCCAGCTTGCAGATGGAGAACACATACGTGCCAGAACTACCCAACGGCACAGGCAAGTGCTCTTTCATCAAACAAACTATTTTACCATCCCAGGACATTTGTGGGATTGTTGCGCTCCGCAAATCGTTTCAGTTTTGCCATATTCTAACTGGTTTGTTCTGACCCACCTATTCATCGGAAATATTTGCTTCTTGTTGCTAGAAAAAATATATGATTTTTTTATTTTGTATATTTGTTACTATTAATATATGATTATAATAGTGGATAAGACATTAATTTAAAATTATGACATTATAGATTATTTAATTTTAATATATTCAATATTTGCATGCCCGTAAATTGGGGCAATTAAACAATTGCCAATAATATTATTACCTGGACATTTTACAGAATATCTAACTGTATAATACGATAATAAATTTCATTTCATTTAATTGCGTATAATATGAAAAATTTTACGTTCATATACGACTAAAATGTCCTACATGAATAAATTATTTTTGAATTTGATCTAATGATTATTTTTTCGTGTAATAATATACATAATTTTTTTTACACTTTCCATCATCCACGTCGCATAAAAACCGTTAAATCATTCAACGTTTAAGTTAATAGACTTAAAACTGATATATCTACTCATTACAGTTAAAATATATTATGACCGAATTATTTGGGGCATGCATTTTCAATAGTGTTATAAAATAAAAAAAAAGTTTAATATATGTATAGTTAATATATGTATATAATACATGTTAGATAGCTAGTAAATTAGCTATCTAACATGTATTATATACATATATAAACCTTCCTCTTGAATCACTCTATCGATTAAAAAAACCGCTTCAAAATCCGTTGCGTAGTTTTATAGATTTAAGCATACATACGGACAGACAGCGACAGCGACTTTGTTTTATACTATGTAATGATTGATATTATTAACATACGGACAAATATTTGGTGACTTTTGTTATTCCCCTTGGTGGGCTTGTGTAGACACAATGGTGGAATTGAACGATGGGTTGACTTTCAGGCATGCTTTTGACATTGGCCTGGCACTGTTGCCACTGTTGATGTTTTCTTGTTATGTATCATCATCTTGTTATGTATATGTATCTTTTAAAGTGATCACAATATTTACTGGTACTATAATGATCTGACCACAACCACTTTGTATTGCAGAAGAAGGCCTGTTCCTGGCGCTGGACCTGGGCGGCACCAACTTCCGCGTCCTGCTTCTGGAATTACAGAAAGGGCAGCTGGTGCGGGAAGATGTCCAACATTACAAGATTAGGTAATTATATACATAAAGGAATACTTACTTAGCATCCCGTTACACTTGTGTTTACGCGCGTTATTAAACCTCGATTACTCTCTCATTAACTTCCAATAGATGGCGTTAATTGTTTATATTGTAACTAATAAAAATATGGTGGATTGTGAAACTGAGAGTGAGAGTGTTTGAAAATAAAAGAGTTTTAGTGGCAAAAGATCGACAAAGAAACATTAAATATCGTTTTTTTTATACTACTATGGTGGCAAACAAGCATACGGCCCATCGGATGGTAAATAGTTCCGTCGATGGCATCCGCTGCGATTGTAAAAACCGTAATATAAAATTCCTTCTTGAAAAACCCCATGCTGTAGTCTCGTGGTATAATCGGTAGAACACACAAAGCGAAGTGAAGGCTCGCCTCAAACTAAGCTACCAGCTACCAAAAAAAGGTATATGATCTCTCTTAGAATCATTATTTGCACACTAGCTGGCCGTAGGCGTCATGTCGGACAATTCCTCAGAACACAGTCCGTTGTATAATCGGTAGAACACACAAAGCAAAGCGAAGTCTCGCCTCAAACTAAGCTACCAGCTACCTGCCAAAAAAAGTCCCGTCAAAATCGGTCCAGCTATTTCAGAGATTAACCGGAACAAACATACAGACAGAGAGATACAAATTGTAAAAAATGTTATTTTGGTGTATGTACCGTATATATATCCATATGCATGTAGTAAAAAACGGTTATTTCAATATTACAAACAGATACTACAATTTTATTTATATGTACAGATGTATAAATTTCTATTGTACAATAAAGTATTATATACAGATAAACAAACCTTCAATATATATATTGCAGCTCAGCGCTGCGACTAGGACCTGGCGAGGACTTGTTCAACTACCTTGCAGACTGCGTGCACGACTTCGTGCGGTCAGTGGGGATGGAGAATGAAGCTCTATCGTTAGGTATGTAACTTTTTAATTATCATCACCATAATCATTCATCATCATCTATAGGAAAAACTATTATTGGGAGACTTTATATGTACAACGTAATAGAACCGGAGACAAGGTTTGTTAGAATTATTGTATGTTTGTCTGTACTTTCTAATTTGATTTGTTACTTCACAACCTCGAGGACGTAGCTGAAAATCAGTATTTTATTCCTTGAGTGATTCTCCACACTGAGCTATGAGCCATTTTGTATTGCTGTGGCACATACATGTAGGTTTACCCATCTTCTATCGCATTGGTTTAAATTATCTGTGTAATATATTATTTGTAACTAGGTGTACACGCGACTTCGTCCGCGTGGAATTTAACTTTATTTTTCTAAAATAATAGTAGCCTAAGTTATTCCTTATTACATCAGCTACCTACCAAATAAAAGTTCCATCAAAATCGGTCCAGCGATTTTAGAGAAAAATTGTAAAAAATGTTATTATTTTGGTGTATGTACCGTATTTATATTCATATGAATATAGTAAAAAACGGTTATTTCAATATTACAAACAGACACTCCAATTTTATTTATATGTATAGATGTATAGATTAAGCCTACATGTTGGTATTGGTATGTAATATTATATTATCTGTGGTAATATACAAATAAAATATCTTCCTTTCTTTCTAATTCAATAGTGTCACTTACTGATCAATGTTCAATATCACTTGCAGGTTTCACATTCTCGTTTCCCATGCGGCAGCACTCGATCTCATCCGGGGAGCTGATCACCTGGACGAAGAGCTTCAAGTGCAGCGGCATGGAGGGCGTGGACGTGGCGGGGCTGCTGCAGCGCTGCCTGCACGCGCGCGGCCTCCGCGTCACCGTCAGGGTGCTCCTCAATGACACCACCGGCACCATGATGGCCGGCGCACACATCAACCCTAATGTCGGGGTGTGTAATTCTTACTCAATTCACCCACTAAAACTTGGTTTTTTTATATAGATGATATGGGGTTGCATTTTTACTTTGTAGTCTACCGCGGACCCTTAAGGCCCCCTTTGGGCCGCCGGGTACGTAAGTTCATTACCCGGACATACTGCTGGTACTGTTGGACCACCCCAGCGTCGATCTTTTTCACCTCAGAGGTGAAGTCGACTACATGACGTAGCCGGTAGAAGGAGTGGTGGGGCATTTTAGGGATAAAGGTAGCCAGGTCGCCGAGCCGGCTAGTGCCGCCACCCTGTCGCGAATGACGCGTTTCCACGATGGAGAGAATGTCGCGCGACAGTCTCTCCATCGGACTGATCTTATCCACGGAATGGTGCACCTACTTGCGCTAACAGTATATATGCCTTTGCGTTAGTTATAGACGATTTATGGCGTGATGGTCCGTGAACAGCTCTTTTCGTGGCTAACAAATAAAACACAAGAGAATTTATTGGCAGTAGTCCGTATTGAGCCGTCTAGATGCCTTCCGTCTCTTGTCAGCAAGTCTTTGAAGCCAGACATCATCGTAAACTTTTCGTTCTTCCATTACACGTTTACACTAACCTGTTCTATTGATTGAGCTTTTCCCAGCTAACGGTATAGGTCATATATATTAGCCCAACATCTAAAACTCTTCTTGCATTATCACTGCACTAGTTATCAGCTGTCACAGCGGAAATAAGAATAATAAACAATATTGTAACAACCTCGATGGTCCAGCAGTTCAGCTTACCGCCTTACATCCGATGGTCGCGGATTCCTCGCACGATACAAATTTTTGTATGATTGTTTGTATCTGTCTGGCGGTATTCTATGTATATTATGTATGTATTTATGAAAAAATATATTTATGTATTTCTATCAGCCTAGTACTTATAAAACAAGTTCTGCTTAGCTTGGGACTAGAAGGCACTGTGTGAATCCTGGATAATAAAATTAACTGACTAACTATTCTGTGTGTGTGTGCAGATCGGCGTGATCCTGGGCACGGGGTCGAACGGGTGCTACATGGAGCGCGCGGCGCGCGTGCGGCACTGGGAGGGGCAGGGGGGGCAGGGGGTGCAGGCGCGCGCGCAGGACGTGTGCGTGGACATCGAGTGGGGCGCCTTCGGAGACAACGGCTGCCTGGACTTCATCCGCACCGACATCGACCGCGAGGTGGACCGCCACTCGCTGCTCGCCACCTCCTTCACGTACGACACCACACACTACTCTACCAGGAGCGGATCTACCTGAGGGCTTTTTGGGCTGCAGCCCAGGGCACCGAGGATACAAAGGGCCCCCAGTCCCTACTGAAACGATTTTTAGAATATATGTGTTAAAAACATATCCTAAGATTGGTAACCCGGAGATCAATCGACCCATGCAAGTGCGCGTCTATCGAAAGAAACGGAGAATTTCTGGTCGCTTGTTTTTGGTCGGTGTATTATTTTAGTTGAGAAATATATTTAGGTAGAGCCCTTAAGTAAATTTAGCCCAGGGCGCCACAAATTCACGATCCGCCCCTGTACTGTCCTCGTTAGTAATGGGGAATAATGTGGCTGCATGGCTAGCAATATTTCATGCCGGGCCTTCTTAATAACTGCCTTCAAACGACACATTCTTACACGTGCAATCACGAGCGCGCCTGATTTAGTGCGAGAGAGCCAGCGCGCGGAATCGTATGTGATTGCATTTTACTCTTTAGTGATCACTCCTGTTTTAAAATTTTAATGTTTATTCCACAGATTTTAATTTCTTTTCTAAAGACACCTTTAATTTTATAAATTATCAATAACTCTGTATATTTATGTAATATTTAATTATTAAAACAAGTTGCTAAAGCACGCACGATTGATGAACGCGGTAATGCGCAAGCGCACTCTTTCTCGTTCTCTTTGTCCCTCTCTATTTAACAAACACATTCTCTCCTGTGTGTATGCGTGTCGTGTAAAGGCAACTAATGTATGATGTGCTGACTTTATCCAGTCATTACCCACTGGTACCCCGCCGGTGCTTACTGTTAGTGCAGGCGGGTGCACCATTCCATATTGATTAATACAAACAAAACTCGTTGTATTATTACGATAAGAAATTCCCGTCACTGTTATAATACAATAATAATTATCTCAGACACAAAAGTAATTCAAAAAATACTGTTATAAATTGTGGGAAGCTAGTATCTGAAAGAGATGTAACCTTTAATACAGATTACCAGGCCCCAACCGATTTATATGAATATAGATTTAAAAAATTTTATCAAAGTTCTACTGTTAAAAAGTCACCTTTTCTGCATATTTAACTGTGTCTAATATAGTAATCTGAATGAACCTCACGTACAAGCTTCTGTGCAATATTTGTAGTACCTTATAGTATGCATATAGAGTTTTATTTTATGTAAAGTAGTGCGCGTCACCTATAAATTAACTCAGCCTTCATAAAGATTGTGTTCGCGTCGGCAGGGAAAATTAGGTATCTGCTTCGAAATGGGTACCATTTCGAGAAGAGAGAAGATATCAGGCTACATCTTCATGTCCAATAAGTGAAAGTTACCAATTGCTAATAGACTGTCATATGCAAAATCAATTGAGTGGGGTAGGTTTAATCAATGTTAAGTCTGAAGGCATTAAAATTTTCATTTCACCGATGTGCCTATGGACCGTAGATAATTTAAAATTTATATTAATTACAATGTTAAGTCTGAAGGCATTAAAATTTTCATTTCACCGATGTGCCTATGGACCGTAGATAATTTAAAATTTATATTAATATATTCATTATTAAAACACTAAAATTCTAATTCAATTGAAATTCAGAATATCTTTATTCATGTAGGTCTATTAGAGACTCTTATGATATGTCAAATCTACCGTCAGTTCGGAATGATTTCGAGATGAGAACTGACAAGAAACTCAGCTCGTATTCTTTTCAAATAAATGTACATGTTTACAATAATACAGATTCATTTAAATTCAAATTTGGGACTTACTAATTAATAAAATGTACCTATGATTACACTCGCAGCGCTTTCTCGGCCCGAACACCAATCTTGATAGTTCAGTCTTATACTTATTACACATATGGTCGTATAAAGTTGTCAGATTTTTTCAGCCTATAAGGGGCAAACTTATAGGCATTTTTTTTGCCTATTTAAGCAATAGACAAAAAAATACGGGAATTTAGATTTTTACCTGGGACAAATAAAAAACAAAATTATATAGTGACATTCTTTATTTTTTTATATATTTTTCTGAGGAGCAAGTCAGCTTTAACATATTTTTATTGGTTTTAACATATTTTTAAAAATCAATACAATTATAATCGTAACTAAAAACGGCCATCAGCTCGCTTTTTGTTAATTAGTGGTACGGACGTTACGTTCGTGAGTATTTTTGTCTAGCATAAAACAATCGATTTAATACTAAATAACGGAGCACGGTTCGAATACGGGACAGAGCCAGTCCCGCCGGGACATTTTAAACTGAGCCTAAAATACGGAACCTCCCGGGAAATACAGGACGTCTGAATAGTACAGTGCTAGTTGTATAGTACAGTGTTGTGTTGTGTTAATGAACAGTTTCGAGAAGTACATCGGCGGCAAGTACCTGGGCGACGTGCTGCGCTGCTCGCTGGCGGCGCTGGCCCGCGAGGGACTGTTCCCCGCCGTTCCTCCGCCGGGCTCTCTGCTCACCGAACATCTCAGCCTCTTTGAAGAGTCAGTATTATGTTTTCTCTATCACAATTAGTTACACACAATAACAACACACTTTTTAAAAGGATAACATCCAACTTTTGCAGCGAGTTGACCACGCTGGTATTTAACCATGTGGTGTCACGTTAGAGGACAGGGGTTTAGTAGAAAAGAATAGTATAGAATAGAAAATCATTTATTATTATTATTAAACATAAACTTAATTTAAGCACTTTTGAATAGTCATAATATTTTTATTAATCTACCGCTCATTCGGAAAGCTTTCTCATCGCATGAAGAACGAGCAAGAAACTTATGTGTTGCTCTTTTAAATAATCCTTGTAAGTTCACATTTTTCAAGTCGAAACGTGTGAATACAAACTACCAACTAGCACTAATTTATTAGGGTCAAATATAAATACACAATAAGATTAAATCAGTCGTAGTGACAAGAGCAGACCAGTCCCTACAAGCAGCACTCGTTCACGAGTATGACGGACTGTAAAAATAAAAAATAAATATGGGGAATTAAATCTATTTTATTTCATAATACTTTAAATGGAGTAACCAGACATAAAAGTCCTGATTTTGGAATTCGGTTCTGGGAACGGGCACCATATGTAGTAATCGGAGCTTTTACTGGCCTGAGACCAGATGGAGCACAAGTGTAGGAGTTCACCAGTTCTCCGGGATCTCCGCCTCTCTTGTTACTTTTACATTCAGCCGCTTCCCCTGCCACTCGCGCTGCCGGAAATATTGCCGGGCGACGACTGAGCGAGAGGGCGGAATGTAAAAACACGCTGCCACTGACAAACCGACAATCGAGGGAGCGCCGGGCAGCGCGAGTGGCAGCGACAATGGCATGGGAAGTGTTTCCACTCGTGTTTACACTCTCGCGCTGCTCACTTCCCTGCTGTCTGCTGCCTGCTTCACTTCAAGGGGAATGTGCATGTTATTAACTCATGCCCCACTATTAGTTAATAGTGGTACTAGGACCTGTATTTGACCTGTATGTAATCGATTATGTAACCTTCGAGACAGTATATTCCTTGCTATAGGCTATCAATGCATCTGTAGTAACCATGCTTGGTGGTTATATAAGGGCAGAGGAAGGCCGAAAAAGAGATGGATGGACTGTGTTAAATGATATGGTTAGAAAAGGAGTAAATACTGAGATGAATGGAAGAGAAAAATATATTACGTCAAGCCCAAATAAAGGGGATAAGGAGGAAGCTGAGGATAACGAGTCGCAGTAATAACCACTTAGAGCAGTTTTATCTATACATATAAATAAAATTGGAGTGTCTGTTTGTAATATTGAAATAACCGTGTTTTACTACATGCATGCGAATATAAAACGGTACATACACCAAAATAACATTTTTTACAGATTTTGTCTGTCTGTCTAATCTCTGAATGGCTGGGCCGATTTTGAAGGGACTTTTATTGGCAGGTAGTGGTATTCTAGAAAAGTAAAGTTAAATTCCACGTGGACGAAGTCGTGAGTACAGCTAGTTTGTTTGTAAGTAAAGTGTCTGTATTCTGGTTCTTGACGTGTGGTGTGTCTTCTGTGTGCAGCGAGGCGTGCTCGGGTCGCTGGTCGCGCACGCTGCACGTGCTGCGGGCGGAGTGCGGCGCGGGGGAGGGGGCCGCGGCGCAGGGGCGGGGGCAGGGGGCGGCCGTGGGGGAGGAGGACGCGCGCGTCGCGCAACACGTGGCGCAGCTCATCTCGAACCGCGCCGCACAACTCGCCTCCGTCTGTGAGTACCCCAACTGTCCTCCCTGATCACGTGATTACTTCCTGGTGACACTACCACTATGTTCGGACAGACCTGACTTACAGAGGACAAAGGCCTAAGCAACCGCGCCTAACGCGCCTAGAGCTCGTAATCTTTAAAACAACCAAACGCAAAATATGAGAGGATTGAAAAATAGGCCAGGAATTACTATGATGCCTAGGACCCAATTTGGCCATCACCACTACTTCATTCTTATGTATTCTTCCTCCATTGGCACTCTACCAGTTAATATTGTTAGCACTGGAATACATTAAGGAAGTACTATGTTGTTTCCGGTTGAAATAATAATTTTAGAACAATTTACACAGCGCCATCTAAATCCAAGTTAAGCTAGCTAAAGCTTGTGTTATAGGTAGGTAGGTAGAAAACACCCAGACCGATTCAAACCATCATAACTATGAATACAAATATTTGTGCCGTGCGAGGAATCGAACCCGCGACCTTCGGAAGTAAGGCGGTGTGCTAAAACGCTAGCCCATCGTGGCCGTCAAATGATATGTCAGTAGAATTACTGGGTGTGGGTGCGTAAAACCTAAGCTGTCATGAAAGGTCTCTGTGGACTGATCCTCCGCTCCCGGGTCTCCGGCAATAGGCGTTTCGTTGGGATACCTTAAAGTTTTTAGTGAGTAGGAGTCCCGAAGTACCCGCTTTCCACCCCCGGGGTGGGGGAGGGGTCATGAAGGTATTTCTCTATGTAAAAAAAAGGTCCCATGTGCATCATTGAATCATAAAGTGAACAAATTTCTACATGTTAACGATTTTAACTGTCCTTAGCCAAGAGAGAAATAACACATTATTTTCTAATATTGATTATTATTATATATATTGTATAAGTGTGTTTGTTCCATACAGGTATATCGGTACTGATCCGGCGCATGGACCGGCCCGTGGTGGGGGTGGCGGTGGACGGCTCCGTGTTCAAGTGCCACCCCCGCATCCGCCCCCTCATGGACAAGTACATCGCGCTGCTCACTCCGCAACACAAGGTAAGCCTCATCAAACACACCACACAAACAAACAAACAAACAAGCGCACAGGACACGTGGAACCTCTACCGAATGTATTTAATCAAAATAGTTCTTAATTCGCGGAAGTCAATTTCACTACTCGATGGATTTATTTTATTTTGTTTAATTCCGCTACAATTAGCATGTCTGAGACCACAAATATTCAGTGCGGAAACTTCACTACCGTTACGACCTTCACTAATGGTGATCAAATCCCGACAGTTATTGAGTCTACATCCATATTGCGACACCTGTTTTACCACTGAATGAGGCCTGATGGTGCGTTGAATACAGTTCTGATATAGCTTGGAAGCCAAGTGTTGACTCTTCGGCGACAAAACCGCGACTCTGCCGAATGTTCACCAGGGGCATCAGGGCTAAATACATACAGGGCGTTACAGCCAGCTGACTATATTTTATCTGAAATGTACAGATTTACCCATCTGTTAATAGCAATTTACAACTGTTTACAAGTTTACAAGGATGCTGCTCCACAATTCATACTAGGAACCGCAGCTGATTTTCAGTAGGCCATCTTAGAAGTTTTGGACTGTGAAAATATTGGTCATCTTGAACTGTTCCTGGCTCGCGAGCCATTATTACTAAGTAACTGTAGCATGTAAATGTTGGATTTCTACCGATATAGAACCAAAATGTAGCTATAAAATGACTGTAAGTGTGATATAAATCAAACAATGGACAGAACTAAATGTAAAAGTAAATACTTATAATGTGAAGATACGTGTACAAACGGTTGTAAGACAAAAAAGACAAAAATGACTATAATATATGACAATTCTATAAAGAAAATACATTCAAAATTGATAGAAAAATAAAGATATAAAAATGTGCAAAGAGTTTGCAACAGTAACCAGTAACCGGAACTGCTCCAGATGTGACGACGCCAAGCGCATGCGATTATTTCGTAGGCGTTGGACGTCATTAATAAGTCGTAATGGCGAAATATTATAGAACAGCCGATTTACGAAGTGACAAACTTCTCGAATGGGTTGCAAAATTCCATTCAAGACGATTGTCACTTCCTAACTCGGATCTGATAGGGATATTCAGTGGAGATACAGCAGTAAATACAATTTATTCCTGATTTCACACACACAGTCGCACGCACTAGTAACGCATAACTGTTTCTTAGCAACAAGAACATTACTTTTAAATGTGATCGATTATACTTTTACTACACAATCAATATGCCTTATGGTATCTGTATGTAATATTATCATATCAGACACTTTAACCATTGTGGATAATTTAGACTTGAATCTTTGTGTGTGTCCTCAGTTCGTACTGATGCCAGCTGAAGACGGTAGTGGCAAGGGATCAGCACTGACGGCGGCGATTGCAGCGCGGGTTGCAGCCACCAGCTCCTTGTAGCGACCACGCCGCCTCGCTACCAACACAACCGTCTGTTGTGACTTGTACATAGGTTAGAGTAGCTTCAATATGCATCATGACTAGGACACTCACTGGACACTGCAAATTGAATAAACACATGGCAAACTTGGGCCTGTGCACAACAAATATCTGGAGATTTTGCCAAGCTGAAGAGCAAACGCCACACATCATCCTATGTGGTTGTAGCCCACTCATGTATAAACGAAATATCTACTTTGGAAAGTTTATACTCTATCCTGAGGAGATAAAAACCATCGCTCCTAAGAATATCCTTCAATTCTTGTCCCTGAGAGGTCTAGGTAACGAACTCAAAAAAGGACGAGCACAATAGATCTAGGTCGCAGTGCTACAGGTCTAAGTACCTAAAAATAGCCCAAACCCTTCCATAAAAAAATTAAGTAGCTTATTACGCGAATATATTAAATAGAGTGAGAATAACAGAAGAAATAGAGATGGAATGAGAAATGTTGTGGAGGGCAACCTCTTGTATATGGCGTCTATTTAAAAAGAATGTTGTAGACGTTGTTGTATATTGTTTAACCTGAGCATAGTTGGGACGAGCCACTAGTGTATAAGTTTTTTTTTCGGACTACTCTAATGCTGTTGGCCGCAGCTGGCCTTTACAGCTTCACCGGACCCTATGCAGATGGCCCTACAAATCAAAGGAAGGACTTATAGAGCGGCTGAAGGCCAACTCCCGCCTGACGTATACAACATTAGTCTGAGGGCACCACTAGGGGTTCGAACCTCTGCTCAGGCCGTCGTAACATCGGTCCCCGTTTGAATCGGACGGGAGATCGATCGGAGGGGACTAGTGTATAGGTATAGATAACAGAACTAAGGGGCTTCATCATAATATATTAGTTACGATTGGTTGAACATATGTATTTGGTAGGTAGCAAATATATAAAGAGTTGTGACAAAGATGAAATATCATTAGAATGAACATTGTCGATTCTCGTTTATGAATATTAATAAACATGATAAAAAATAATGAGATTTATATTCGACTAGCTGAACATGCGACTTCGTCCACGTGGACTGTAACTTTATATTTCTAAAATAAAAGTAGCGTAAGTTACTCCGTATTACATCAGCTACCTGCCAAAAAATGTCCCGTTAAAATTGGTCCAGCCATTTCAGAGATTAGCCGGAACAAACAGACAGACAGACAAAAATTGTAAAAAATGATATTTTGATGTTTGTACCGTATTTATATTCATATATCGTGCGATTCGTAAAACAACGTTTATTATTAGTAACGGTTATATCAATATTACAAACAGACACTCTTATTTTATATGTATAGATATACAGGATATACTTATTATAAGATGTGATAAGTGATAACCGCTCAATTTGTAATGTAATTGTTTTGCACGAGAGTGAGAATGTTTTAAGTGTAATTTTTGTTCTTTCATCACATCATGATTTATGTTATATTGTGTTTTAATATTAAGTTCGTTTTTTAATAATATTTTTTAATTGGCCGGTATGAATTTTGATATTATTTAAATTATTAACCGGGCCTTAACACGAATAATTTTATGGCAAATAAATACCTTTATTTACCAAAAGATTATTTCGTTGAACAATCTTGTGACGGTAGATGAAAAAAACTACTGTCACCTGCCTACAATGACAGCTGTTGCTTCAGTCAGCTCGTAACCACGGCTAGTGCAACCTAGTCGAAACGTCGAGAGAGGTAAAATACCTTTTTTGCCATAAAATTATTCGTGTTATAACCCGGTTAATAATTCAAATAATGTATATTAAACACGAAAGTTTAAAAATAACCGTTTCGATATTGTATTTAAGTAATGTAATATTAATTATATAAATTCATATTTATGTGATATTTAGAAGTATACTTAGATGTATTTAGCATATCGTTCGTGAACAACACAGGGTTATGTTTAGGACGTCGCCGTTAAATATTATAGGGTTAGTCTATTTACCTCAAGTGTGTTAATTCATTTTTTTAATACACCCAGTGGCGTAGCTATCTTGGGGCTAGGCGGGGTAGTGCCCCGGGGTCTTCTCAGCTCAGAAGGCCCTCGAACCCTTACCAAAAAATAGCGATTGAACTGAACTTTTCAAAATTGCTCCCATTTTCAAAATAAATATGACAGGTTGCAACCCGATTTTAATGATGGCAACTCAGTTGAGAGAAATTCGAAAGTTACACCTTCGGAGTTCCCCTGAATTCTTTCTGTGGGTTGGCAGTGTTGCCAGTTTGACGAATAATGTATGACGTAAAGATATATAATGACGAATTTTAATAAACATTTTCAGCAGTGGCCCCATTTTTTTATTTGACCCAGGGCCCGTGGTTACCTAACTACGCCACTGAATACACCTAATCTGTTTGTTAACTTCGAGATCACAGGCTACAACTACGATTTATGTTAATGGTTTTAAAGACATATCATTAGGAAATTGTAGTTTTTGTTGTATAGGACTTACATATAATTATAATCCTTTTCTTTTTACCAGCATCCCCGAGAAAGAGTTCCCTTAGGGGTCCCTTAATCGTACTCGTAGAGTATGAAAAACACCCCCTTAATAATCGTAATAAAACTCGTAGAGTATGAAAAATACTTACGGGGTCCCTTAATCGTACAGTATGAAACACTGTCCTAGATCATTGTTGATTTGCATTGTAGATATACATATAATACTGTGCCATAAATTAGTCGTGTATTTGCCAGATATTTTACGACATATTTTGCCTATATGATATTACGAATTAGCTAAGCAGATTATATACACTATTTTTGATACTAGGTAGTACAAATCATTAAAAAAGAATAAACCGCCAATGTCTAATCGGATTTGTGCAAATGCTGTGATTAGATTTAGTTTAATGATAATATTATAATAATAATTATAGTTATTAAAATTTATTAGAATATATGATTATCTATCTATCTATATATGACTGTCAAAAATTAATATATAAACATGTACATATTTAGTAAGTAGATACGAGAGAACTGTGTGCGAGCAGACAAAACCCGACAGGAGTTTTGCAGGATAGTTTATTATAATAATGTAAAATTTGAAAAATAAAGTTTTTTATCTATCTATCTATCTATTTATTGTATTATTATGAACATACATACATACGTGCGCAAACACTCGGGACCGTTTGTCATCTTGACGACTTCAATGTTTATTTGATGATTGCAACAAAACCTATCATTCAAATTGATAATAATACTCTCAGGACAATTCACACACATCCACGCCATCTAGACCCAAGTTAAGCTAGCTTAAGCTTGTGTTATGGGTATTAGATAACTGATACAAATACATAAATTTCGTTTGTAAATAAATACATATTGAACATAAAAAACACCCAGAACGATAAAAATAATCATACTTATGAATACAAATGTTTGTGCCGTGCGGAGAATCGAACCCGCAACCATCGAAAGTAAGGCGCTGTGCTAAACTGCTGGACCACCGAGGTCGTCAAATTATACTATTTATATCTATATTGTACCGCAAATGTATACGAATATTCCTGATAACATACAAACTGACACTAATATAATTTGCATTTATTATGTTAGTAATTTGGTATTAGGGCTGTGATATACACTGTCACTGAATCAGCGAGGCAAATATAAGCCTGTTATAAACTGTATGCATTTAAACAAAAGTTCAGCCACTCGGCTAGTTGTAACTCTATGTATTCAAATTCAAATTCAAAAATAATTTATTCATGTAGGAAATTTTAGCCGCTTATGAACTTTTTATATGATATTGTTTTCCCTACCGTCCAGTTGAGTATATAGATCCAATTGAGAAGAACTAGACCAATTATGAATGTCAAATATACAAATTAAAAAATAATTTATTCATGTAGGACATTTTAGTTGCTAATGAACGTCAAATTTTTTATAATATTTTTCTCAACCGTCCAGTTCAGTAAACTCAATTGATTACTTTTTTTAAGCCAGTTTATTTACAATGTATATTTATATATGTGTCTATGTCTAACATTAAATGAAAATCCCGTGCATGAACTATTGCCGTGCACGCTCGTCTATATGTCGTACCATTGTTTTGATGTAATGTTCATTTTTATGTGCAATATTAATTAAATAATGTTTATATAGTGTCTATATAACGTTATATTACTGATTGTTATGATAACATAATACTATTTATTAATTATATTTACCAACTTTGTACAAACTTTACTGATATACATATATGTTATTATTTTAAATAAATATGTTAATTAAATTGTTTTATAAAACATACGTTTTTTATTTACAATATCTCATCACATGTTCATTAATTAGAGTAAGTGACTGCAATAATTAATCATCGTAATCGGCCATTGTGGCTTTATTATTGTTCCACTTGTAGTATAATCTGTAAACACTGTAAACATTACTCTGTGGCTGATCAAGACTCTCTTAGTCATATTTACTTTACTCTTTGCTCTTACCTTAACGGCGAGGATGTCGATTAGTATACGGTCAGACTGATGGTAAGTAAATAAAAACATGAAGTTAATATAAAATATTTTAATACCAAGCATTATAACTAATGTAATAATAACAAGTAATACTTAAAATAATATATTTTGTCTAAAATGTATAAAATTAACTATAACATTGTAGGATTGCTGTTTGCTTTCCTCTCTCGTAGTACGAGTACATCATTTAAATATATAAAACATTCCTTAGGTTAATTAATATATAAATATTTCTAGGTTGTTTTTAATACAGACATATAATTAGACTATTACCACTATTACTAAGGTAGGTATCAAACCTATGTACCTCACATTCTAAGTATATAAGGTACAAAGAATTGTCTGAAATAAATAAATAAACGCCTACATATACATAGTAGGTAAATGTACATAACTAGTTGCACAGATAACATAATATTATCTATTTATTTATATATATATAATTTTTTTTTATAGAAATTTATATTTTAAATATTTTGCTCTATATTTATATATCTTTTTTTGACATTTCTCATTTATATTAGTGCACCGTCCACAATCTTTCTCTGCACCACTCATAAGTATATAAGGTAGATAACGCCGCAAGGTGTTAAGTCCGCCATATGTACACATTGTTTATGTGCATTAAAGTTATATAAATAAAAAAATATAACATAGCAGTAGTTATTAGTGTATTAGCACTATTAGTAACTCATTTTGTTTAATTGACTATTGTTTTTTAATTAAATAGGACCAAAAGTATTAATAAATAACTATATATTTGTATACAAGGAGGTTAAGTTAAAGTTATAGATATTATTATATATATTTTTGCAAATATATAATATAATATGTTTTTTTAACACTAAATCTACGATTATAAAATAATTAATTTTAATTTAATACAACAATACAATGTTCCTATCACAAGTATAATAAGTAATAATAAAAAAATAACTAAATTAATATATTTTTTTTATAATTGTTTTTACTGTATGTAATAAAATAGTTTCAAAGTATAAAATTATTCTAAATTAGACATAAATCATATTTACATATCGATATTCTATAATTATATATCTAGATTGGTGTATAACATTTTATACATGGCTGTCTATCAAGGACATATGTGTCAGGTGTCAGGCCAATAAACACATATTACTTATAGAATGTCATGCCAAGTTTATATGGAGAGTAGGGGAGAGATTATTCAGATACGCTATTCCATGATCATCAGAAGATAAAATCTTGTATGTGATTATAATAGCAGTATGCAGTCGTTTATTAACTTAACATACTGGTAACATTTTAAATATTATTAGGTAAGACATTGCAACTCAAATAACAAAATTATAATACATTATATGCTCCTTAAATGTGATAAATTCCTAAATTATAATATAGCTAGTGACACTGTGATGTAAGTTGAACTAAGAACAACAATAAAATGTTGCCACATTGATTTATATTTCATGAATGGTACGCTTAGTATGATGAATGTATTGAATTTTACGAGTGATCCTTTAATTTTCTGACTTACAAAGCTTTACACAGATTTCGGTTACATGTATGAACATGTCACGATCACTGACTTGTAATCATGGAGCATGTATGGGCATCATTTATAATGTAAAGAAATTTTGTAGGCATACATAGATTTTTTTAAATTACTTTATTAAAAAAACACTCAGGTTTCGTATAGCTATTTTATAATTTTACAAGCTACTCGCCCCGTCTTCGCACAGGTGTACATGTATAATATAAATAAACCTTCCTCTTGAATCACTCTATCTATTAAAAAAACTTATTCAAAATCCGTTGCATAGTTTTAAAGATTTAAGCATACATAGGGACGGATAGACAGCGACAGCGACTTTGTTTTATACTATAATATGTAACGATTATATGGAATACGTTTTGGTTCCTCGTAGTACCATTTAATTCAGATCATACGTCCACCACGCGGCAATGTTTGAGAATTATTGTCTCTACCTATTGGTAATCAGTAGATTCTGAACTGGGATCAGCAGTACGACGAGTCATCCTCTGTGGCGCGGTGGCCGTTCACGAAACCTCCACCTTCTCCCGGACTTTCCGCAGGATATTCTGCAGCTCTGAAGACGTAGTGGTCTTGTACTGAAATAATTCATTGGTCTTTATGGCATTTTACCGAAAATTATATATACATTAGTTGGGTCAAATATTTGACACACATTTGATTTGACACGTTGAAACACATTTAATTTAGTCAATGAATGTATAGCATCAACTAAGAAATCCAGGCCTCGTCAATGAAATGGTCGGGAGCCAGGGGCGTAACTACCGCCGTATCTGATATAAATGCCAATATAGGGGCCCCCGGAGGGGGCAATGGCGTTTTCTCAATTTTTTTTATTTCGCAAATGACAAAAGTAAAAAAAAGCAATTTCTTTTTTACCTGTATCTACTATAAATGATTTAATAAATCAGTTTGCCGAAAAAAGGCGAGGAGAGTGTATATTTAATTTGAATTGTTTGTAAAGATTTTGGAAAAAGTGACAGACAGATAATTATGATGAACAAATATTTCTTTTGTGAGAAATCTTTACCTTTCGTAAGGGCTTCCAAACAAATTTTTATACGGTGCCCCGCCAGGGCACGCTACACTTCTATCGGAGCCATGTAGATATAGATTGTGTGAAATAAATGTAAAAGGGTTTGTATACAAATTATATTTAGTCATAAAATATTTCACTCTTTCAATAAATATTATAAATATGAACATATTAAAAAGATCGATTGGTTGACGATATCTGATTGTGCATACTAAACATAGGTACCTGTACTAATCCGGATCTAATGATCCGCACAAAATTAATATATAATCATATTAATTGCCTAAATAAGATAAGATTTTTTATGATTTATCTATATAATTCGGGTTATCTATGTATAATTATTGTCGTGTTTTGGTCTGTACGGTAAAATGGAGAGTGTAGCTTGTTTCTCAGGAGTGATAATGCATAAAAATATATGATAATGCATTCAGCATCAGCAATTCTCAGCACAGAATTAATGCTAGATGGATAAGTGGCGGCAGGTACGGCGACGACGTGTGGCTCACTTGTTCTCCTTAAACTTAAGGGAAAATTTACAACACCATGATCCAGCCTGCTGTTTTTTTTTTCGGACTACTCTAATGCTGTTGGCCGCAGCTGGCCTTTACAGCTTCACCGGACGATAGGGGCGAGTGCCGATGGCACTCCAAACCAAAGGAAGGACTTATGGAGCGGCTGAAGGCCAACTCCCGCCTGACGGATACGACATTAGTCTGAGGGCACCGCCAGGGGTTCGAACCTCAGCTCAGGCCGTCGTAACATCGGTCCCCGTTTGAATTGGACGGGGGATCGATCGGAGGGGTCCTGCTGTCTAGAATAGATCAGAGTGCTGGCCCGTAAATGTGACGGATGAAAGACGACTGCATCCAACTTCAATGCGAATCGTATGGATGTGTGGCGTGACACGAATGGATGAGATCATTTTGTTTACGTTTATCATATTTGCACCGACAACAATTATTCTCTGCACCACCTATGGTTGACTGGTAGAAAATGCCGCATGCTGTTAAGTCCGCCAAATGTACTGTACTATATATTGTATTGTGTGCATTAAAGTTAAATAAATCAAAAATAAATAAATAAATAAGATATAGAATGAATACATTAGAGGAAGTATGAAAGTGGCGCCGGTGTCGGAGTGGTTGAAGAGTAATCGTCTGTCGTGGTGTGGACATGTGATGCGTAGGAATGTAGATAATATATTAAAGAAATTATTACATATGAATGTGGATGGACTGCATGAAAGATTATATAGCGAGAGAGGAATAACATATTACGTCGGCCCGAAATATATTGGATAAGAAGTAGGGGCGTGGGCCGACGGGCGTCCTCACCGTGCTGTCCACTCACCCCGGAGACGTTCCGCTGCACCAGGATCTGGCTGTAGAGGCGCTTGCCCTCGTCGGTGCCGAGCACGGCCTCCAGCTGCGACCGACTGTACGAGAACAGCTGGAACCCGGGCACACGCAGTTTGCGCTGCGCCAGCTGACTGAAGCCTTTCGCTTCCAGCCATTCTCCTACTTCTTGCGGGTTCGATTTCTGTGGATACATTTTTACCATGAAGTTTACATAGAAGTATGTTTGGCTTTACGTGACAGTCAATCTACGATCCATAATTACTTAATTTTAAATATTGGCTTCCTTAAAATGGAATAAATCGAGTGCAGATTACAATACACCTTCTAAAAGTCATTCTTAGTGTCCTGTTCTATTTATCTAACACTAGCTGACCCGCGCAACTTCGTCTGCATTTCGTTTTCCTATCTTTTGCGATATTTTTCATTGTAGCTCTGCTCCCATTGGTCGTAGCATAATGTTATATAGCTTGAAGCCTTCCTCGACAAATGGACTATCCAACACAAAAAGATTTTTTCAATTCGAGCCAGTAGTTCCTGAGATCAGCGCGTTCAAATAAACAAACTTAAAGCTTTATAATACTAGTATGGATGATTATGTTTCAAACTGTTTTCTTGTTCAATTCTACACTAACTAAGAGTTTACAATTTACATATTCCCATTTAAGAAGAGAGGAAGACCTAAACAGTTCTCACCTGGTGAATGAAGATGTCCGGCGTCTTCTTGATGAAGTCGAGCTTGTTCTTCCTCTGCTGTATCTGTGGCAGCACAATTTTCAACTCATCGTTCAGGTCGCTGTTGGTACTCATTACCGATTTCCTCGCTGCGGCAAACAAGCAATAACGTATTTTAAACAAACATGTCATGACGCAGTAAGAGTGGAATGTGACATCACTGTTTTTGATCTCCGCGTTGTCTTCTGACTACGATAAAATTTAATTTATAATATTTCTTTCACGTAGGACCTTTCGTTCACTTGTGTGTTTTAAGTCATATTTTTTTTAACATTATCCCTACCGTCCAGTTAGAACAATAAAGAATAGAGTTATAAAGAATTAATACACCAATGAAAGAAAAATACTAGAAATACAACACTATAATAACCGACTATACTGGACAGCTTCTACAGACTTCTTTTGTTATGTGAAGATATGTGGGAGATGATAAATAAGTAACTAAGTTGTGGTTACGATTTAAGGTAGGCTCTACATCTGGGGTACAATCGCAGATATGCATCCAGAGATTTATAGATAACTAACTGTTCCTGCGACTAAAAATAAAGTTAAATTCCACGCGTACGAGGAATTTAACTTTATTTTTCTAAAATAAAATTAAACTAAATTACTCCTTATTATATCAGCTACTTGCCAAAAAAGTCACGTCAAAATTGGTCCTGCCATTTCAGAGATTACCCGGAACAAACAGACAGGCAGACAAAAATTGAGAGAAATGTTATTTTGGTGTACCGTATTTGTATTCAAATGAATGTAGTTAAAAACAGTTATTTCAATATTACAAACAGACACTCCAATTTTTTATTTATATGTATAGATGTATAGACTATCTAACCCGTGCAACTTCGTCTGCATTCCATTTCCCCACCCTTTGCAATATGTTTCTCTACAGCTCCGCTCCTATTGGTCGTAGCGTAATGTTATATAGCTCAAAGCCTTCCTCGACAAATGGACTATCCAACACAAAAATAATTTGTCAATTCAAACAGTAGTTTCTGAGATTTGCGCGTTGAAACAACCAAATAAGCTCTTTAGTATTATAATATTGGTCTAGATTATGGCGGGTACTTACATTTGAGCGTGTCACTCTTGGCGGAGGCTGCGACGGGTGCGGCGAGGGCGGGCACGGGGGGCGGGGGCGGGGGCGGCGGCGGCGGGGGAGGCGGCGACGCCTTCTCTGTAAACACACCACCAACACGCACGTGTCAACACTGATTCACATCGCCTGATAGGTGACGTTGTCTAATTAATTATTAGAACATTACTATTATTCAACTGCATCCCAACAGGAGAGGCATCTGGAACACGACTATATATTGTGTGATAACATAGTTCAAAATGAGACCGATTCTGATGACTCTTTATCTCTCTCATTGAAATTGGTTTTGTCTTAATATATATTTTTTTAATAATTAATAAAACTAATAATATTAAATCATATATTATTCATACACTTGATGTTAATAATAATAACACAAGAATGTTAGCAACAAACTCACCATGTGGTCAGCAACAGCATGATGACGTCACAACACAGCACACACACACACACATCGAAGCGAAGCACACAACACACCCATAGGAAACCAATAAGTTACACACCGACGAACATTATTATTAATCAATTGCGTCTGTACATATAATGGAAATTTGATTTATAATTGTATATTAATGTTTCTAAATTTATAGAAAATCCCGTTAAAAAACATCCCAATAAAAATGTTATAATTGTTTATACACCGCGGTGTTTGTTTTCTAAATTGTTTATTTTTATTTTTGTTTGTTATTAATTTAATAATGGTACGTTGTATCACTACACAGTATAAAACAAAGTCGCTGTCGCTGTCTGTTCGTCCTTATGTATGCTTAAATCTTTAAAACTACGCCACGGATTTTGAAGCGGTTTTTTTAATAGATAGAGTGATTCAAGAGGAAGATTTACATGTATAATACAGGTACACCCGTGCGAAGCCGGGGCGGGTAGGTAGTATTGAATATAAGTAAATATGAGGAGAAACAATCGTCCCGCATTCCGGCATTTATCAAAATTATGAAATATTGCGGCAGCTATTATCTATATAACCATTTGTTAAATATAAAATAATCTTTACGATCCCTACGTGTGTGTTTTTTAATGAAAATATGAAGATGTTTTAATAAACTTTTCTAAATTGTTGAAGTCGGTTTTAGATAAATAATTGTTATATATATTTTTTGTAACAAATCGGAGGCCCGGCCTGCGGCTATGGTTGGGGACGCAAGAGTGACAAACAAATCAACAATAGACATTTTGATGAAACTATTTAATGTATAAAAATATTCTACAATATAAACACGAGCACTATTCATTTGTGGGCGGAGTGGGTGCGCTCGTGTCCTTCAGCAGAGACAAACACGCACATTGGCGGCCTCTAGGGGCCTCTAGCGACCACTAGTAGAGTCTAACGGCCTCTAGCAGCGCCTAGTAGAGTCTAGTTACGTGTATCGTGCGTGCTTGTGTCGGCGTCACAACACAGTCCACCCACTCCGATAATATAATATAATTATATATTAAATTTATATATTCTGAACTATACTCAATATAATTCACATAAACATACGAGTATATCCATTACACATCTTCATATTATATTAGGTATTAAAATATTTAAATGACAACAATGTTCCATCGTGACGTGATCTAACTATAAACCTCTGCTTGTACCTAACTAATGCAGACTGCCTGCTATTTGTAAATGGCGTACAGATCTATCTAACAATAATTTATTTCATAACATATATATTTCATAGTCGTTATAGAATTAAATTAAATCAGACTTGGAATACAATTGTTGTAACATACAGATGTTGTTCGGAGAGGAATCTATACTAAATAGACCTTGGCAACGTGAGAAGATAAAGAATTGAGCATAATTTCACATTAAGATGTTAACAAAGTATGGACGGTATCAAATGATCGATGCACACATATGACATTGTCACAATTAACAACAATCGGTGACATGACATCTCACAAACGCTACATTTAATGACACACACACACACACAGAGCGCGGCGCGGCCCACACACACAGAGTGTAGTGCGGCCGCACACACAGAGCACAGTATTCGGTCAACATTCAATATTTTTGGTAAATATTCTCAGTTATTTTGTAATTGTTCGTGTAATAGTAATCCTCTAGACAGGAGTATAGTTTAGTTGATATACAAATGAATAGAGTATCGAGATTCTCTCCTGAGATTCCAGTCTATAGAAAAGAGTACGTATTATAACTCAGTAGTTTTGTACTGAAATTAGTTTGCTTAGAAGTAAACATAAACAATTGAGCGATGCGCTGTATGTCTACCTCTGTTACACTATGTTCTAAACTGTTTTTAAGATTATCTTCATATAAAACATTGTATGTGGTGTTATGTTCCAGTCACACGTGTACTATAGTCTGTTTTTTAATCCCGGAGAATTAATTGACAGGTGTGAATGTCAAATTTTCAAATAATGTTACCACCCATAGCGGGGTAGTGATAAGTGGTAAATGTACCTGCGATACAGATTTGTTTAATCGGAAACTTTTATTATAACATATTATTAGTATTAGTTTTTAAGCTTTAAACGACGTTTCCAAAACAAATTTTTAAATTTACGTACAATATACTAGTGTTTACATTACTATCTTCGTATACACTATAAAAATACATTTTTGTCGTTTTGCGTACAAATAGTAATTTTTAAAGTATTAAGCTACAAATCAACATTTTTTTCTTTTAAACAGCTAAATAATTTGAATAGGTGTTTGTTTTATGACATATGACACTAAAAAACGTCCCATGTTTTACAAAAACGGCAGTTAAATAAACACCCACACATTATTTCTGAAGAACCTATAAAAATGGATCATTAATATAACTTTCCGATAGTGCCACAGCCCTATTTAAAAAATGCGAAATCCTGGCAACGTCGGAAACGCCAAAGTTGTCTCCGGGATTAAAAAACAGACTAAACGGATTGTGTGACGGCGTGTGTGAGCGCATTTCTACGTCACGTGTACAACAGAGTTAGGCCGTTATAAATATCTAATTACAACAGCGGACATAAATTATGACTACACATTGCGTATTAACGTGAGGCGCGTGAAATAAGCACTTTGGTAGGGGGCTGTACGGTCGAGGGGCGAGGGGCGAGGGGCGAGGCGGAGGGCGCGGGGGGCAGGGGGGGCTGCCTCCGTCCTGAACCCTACAGCTACGTCCGTTGGCACATTACTACATGAAAGACCGGTAGACCGAGGTTTTATTGATGTAATTCTAAAGTCTTATCTGTTTATTATTTCTGCTTATTTGAGGGTTTTATTATAAAAGTTGTGGTTAATGGTACAAGAGTTATGAAGCACTTACGTATGTAGGTAATGCCTGCAATGTTCATAATAGTTAATTTACGTATATTATATAATACGGGTTTACTTAGTCTAAAAAACAGTTCAGTTAGAGGTCTCAACGTTGACTTTGTCACAAGTGACAGAAGGTAATAATATACTGTCCCCCATGTCAGGTAATGTGCAAACGGCTAAGATATATTTCTGAGAATCCCATCGATTATGGTGAAGGTAACAGTGAAGACGACACCGCCTAAAAGTATCTGAACTCGCCCTTTTTACCGAGCCGCTCGCGGCGTACCCAGTCGGCGCCCCCTCCCCCTCCCCCGCCCCCACCCCCGCCGCCCCGCTCCCTGTCCCCGCCCCCTCCCCTGTCCCCGGCCCTGTCCCCGCCCCTGTCCCCGCCGCCCCCGGACCCGGCTCTACCCGTCGCACCTGTAGGACTGCTGCCACCGGAGCCTCGGCCGCCGTTATCCTATAACAAACGAAGTCATTTCTTATCCAATCAAGGAAATTCTTCGTGAAAAATGTAGTAATCAAATTGAATCTAATAGTTAATTTATATTTAATAAAATTTCCGATTACAATGAGATGATGAGTGATGATCTATCTTTCATCAGCTGTGTCAGTTAACGCCCGAAATCAATAACGTTTAAGACATTAAGACATTTATTGTAGTCTTTATCTTGCATTTACCACAGATGGTTTGCAACGAGTGTAAAGCGAGTGCAGATGGCACTCCAAACCAAAGGAAGGACTTATGGAGCGGCTGAAGGCCAACTCCCGCCTGACGGATACGACTTTAGTCTGAGGGCACCGCTAGGGGTTCAAACCTCGGCTCAGGTCGTCGTAATATCGATCCCCGTTTGAATTGGACGGGGGATCGATCGGAGAGTATGCCTGTAATGGCGTTTATAAATAATCGTCGCCGCCACCATGCGGCGGGCCGGAGTCCGTACCGTGTGCGTGTAGTGGTTGTGGTGCGCGTGGTGCGTGTAGATGGGGTTGGGGTAGAGGTGCGGCGAGGCTGGCGGCGGGTGCGCGGCCGCCACGATCGTGTGCGGCACGTGCGCCGCAACGCCGCGGCGGTTGCGGGCCTTCCACCACTTGCGGGAGTCGTCCAGGACCTGCGCGCGCACACCACATTGTGTGTAACGTGTCCCTCAACACTGGTGGGAGTAGCATCAGTGAGAGCAATATGTACAGTTGATACGATAACCTGTCCAATAGTCATAAGGCTATATGTATATTTATCTCGTTGAAGTATTTACAAATGATATACATACAAGAAAACGGTCTCGGTGGTCTAACACACTGCTTTACTTCCGATAGTCGCGGGTTCGACTTCCCGCTAGGTGTATACATTTGTATTCATGAGTGCGATTGCTTGTATCGGTCTGGATGTTTTCCATGTATTAAAAAAACTCTGTATTTGTATCACTTACCTAGTATCTAGAACAAAAGCTCTGCTTACCATGGAACTAGAATAAGCTGTGGTTCAAGGTTAAAAAAAATCTGAACCAATTTTGATGATTCCATATTTTATAAAATAAATTAAGTATTGAGTTCGTTGGCAATCCATTTAGCTTTCTACTGTCCGTGTGTGTATACTAAACAACCCGTAGCACTTGCTCTGCTTCACATAAAACAGAGGAAACTCTCACTGGAAATAAGTTTATATTTTATTTCTGATATTAGCGCGTTCTCGTTCAGCATCCATAAAATAAAGTATCGGCTCAATGGTAAAGAAGAATTGTTTAGATTTAGTGTGTTGTGTGTTGTGTGGACCTCGAGGTACTCCCCGCGCGCGACGGTGAGCTCCTTGTCGTTGTTGGCGGTGCGCGGGTAGGTCACGACCACCACGCGGCCGCCCCGCGCCGCCACGCTGCGCGCCCACGCCTCGCCCGCCTCGTCTGACGACACAAACCACATTATTTACTGTTATCAATAACAACATTCGTACAAAATCATAAAAATATCAGCTATCTGCCAAAAAAAGTCCCGGTCGGTCCAGCCATTTCAGAGTTTAGCCGGAACAAACAGACAGACAGACAAAAATTGTAAAAAAAAATATTTTGATATATGTACGATATTTATATGCATATGCATGTAGTAGAAAACGGTTGTTTCAATATTACAAACAGACACTCCAATTTTATTTATATGTATAGATGTATAGATTAGTGTTAGCATTTTGACCTTATGGTCACTTCTCTAACTTTAACCCGTCCCACGTTTCGTCACTGAAGTAATCACTGAACTATTTGGCTGTGATAGAGAGAATGTAATTAATAGTTTTTAGATAGTAGTAGGGGGCTCACCGTCGTCGCGGTCGCCGCGGTAGGGCTCCCGGTCCGGGGAGGACGCCGCCGACCCGGAGTCTTCGTGACCCACCACTCTTTGATTCCTACAACACAGACATGTGTTTGTTTAGATGTTGTGTTTAGAAAGACATGGCCGTGGAACACAAGTCTTATTGGCCAGAAATAAAATTATCTGAAGAATAAGATATGACAGGGTATTTATTCTGTATGTATGTATATAAGATAAGAAGATTTCCTCCTCTGATGATGCTGATCACTAATTGTTTGAATATATGGATTTATTTCAAAACGTTATTCTTCTGCTCTGATAATATTAATGTTTTTGGTAGTCTTACAGAAAGAAAATATTAGCTATAATTTATTGAACATCTATGACGACCTCGGTGGTCTAGCGGTCTAGCACATCGCTTTGGTGATCGCGGGTTCGATTCCTCGCACGGCACAAACATTTGTATTCATGAGTATGATTGTTTGTATCGGTTTGCGTGTTTTTTATGAATAATAAAACAGTTATTTAGTACTCATAACACAAGCTTTAGCTAGCTTAACTTGGGTCTAGATGGCGCCGCCTGAATTGTCCTGAGATTATTATTATTATTATCTATGCAAAGAAATCAATGGGCTATTATTATTAATAATTATGTTCTGTGATATATTAATGTGAGCACACATATAAGACATGGCGGCAGTGCACGGTACCTGGTGTAGGGGGCGTACTGCTCCCCGTACATGTCGGGCTCGTCCCGGTCGTAGGCGTAGGCCGCGGGCCCGGCGGGCCCCGCCGCGCCCCCGTGCGCCCCGTGCGCCCCGCCCCCCGCGGGCCCCGCGGGCCCCGCGCGCTCCCCGCCCCGCTCCAGGCCGGCCGCGGGCCCGCCGGCGTCGCTGCGCCGCGGGGACGGCCTGACGTCACACACACACACACACACATAGACACACAAAACGAGCAAACGACCACAATAAACATGACATTACTCACAGATTACACTCACAGACGATGCACCACTACTAAACTACATGACGTGACGCGACAGCACTCGCTACACCATTTTTCCCTCTATCTTATTTTTATTCATAAAAATGTAAATCGTCTAATACATTTTAGCTAACTTGTGATTTTCTTATGAATTCTTTTATAAATTTGAAAGTAGGTGAGGTAAAGAACAAACAATGTAATAAATAGAATATGTTTGAAAACAAAATTACATTACGCATTAATTATAATTAATGTTACCATCTGTAGCGGGTAGTGGTGTACCTGCGATACCAATCTGTTTAATCGGAATTTAACAAATAGTTAAATAGTTTTAAAGCTTTAATGAGGTTTCCACGATAGTATTTTTAATTTTACGAATATATACATACTAGTGTTTGCATTACTGTCGTCGTATTACACAGCATAAAAATACATTTTGTCGTTTCCGAACAAATAGTAATTTTTACAGTATTAAGCTACAAACCAACATTTTTGTTGTTCCAAACAGCAAAATATTTTAATTAGGTATTTGTTTTATGATACATGTCACTATAAAAAGGTAAATTTAAAGCAGACCATGATACTGTTGTTCTATTTTGTGCTTGAAATTAAGAAGCAAAATACTTAAATTGCATCTATTCGGATGTTATAAAATGTTTGATTTAAATAAAATAATATAATAATATGTCTCTGTATTACGTACTATGTAGGTACGTAATCAATTGATGAATTTCAAATGAATACCTATGTTTATCCAGTGATAATTAATAAAAAGAGTTTATTGTAATTAAATACAATACGAACATATAATATTTCATTAAATTCATATCAATTGGAGTTGATTACAGTGAACAGACATCTACCTGTCCAACTATATCTGACATTCACAACTAACCCAATTAGATATCAGTGTTAAGTATTACAAAGTATTGGTTCAAAGTACTCAAGTCTGCAGCTGGCACTTCATTGATAAAAATCCTTATTTAAGATAGATTAAAAATTTTGGAACAACTGTTTGAGAGCTACCCATAAACAGATCGTTTAAATTTGTAATTATAACTGTATATTATATATATAAAATAGCAAAATTATCTTGCATAATGATGCATGTTATATTTAGTAGTTGTTTTGTTAATGTGCCGTTATCTTGGAACACACTTTCCATTTCCCATGGGAACACTCACGTATCTACCGCTGTTGGCGACAGACCTCTATTTATGGCTCTCTCTTATTTTGAACCATGTTTTTTATTTACCATTGTGGACTTGTATATTTTTCTATTGCTATTTTAAATGTGTCTACTAAATATCCTTCATGAAGGAGGACTCTTGGCCGAAGGGTGTGGTGTCGCCGTCTGCCGTGGCAGATTGCCGTCGACAGTGCCTTGACCACACAGTCAATATCAATATAATAGTTTTAAAATATTATTACATATGTATGTTACTCTGTCAGGTATTTATAATATGGGTCATGTAGCCTGAATTAAATAAATAATATATATATATTGCCCTAAGACTGGTAAGTTATTTATTTATTTTACCCTACTACCTGCCCGTGCCAGTCGTATTAACGACCCTTTCAAATGATTAAATATATGTCACAGTCACAAAAGCACAATAACAAAGTACCAACAAAAAAATAATAATGATGTGAATGTAGTGTGGTGTGAACTGACCGTCTGAGGGGCTGGTCGTCCACCTGGTAGTCAGGCGACCAGCCGTCCATGAACACGGGCTGGTACGGAGGGATCACCGTCTTCCATTGCTCCCTGCAAACAAGGAAACAAAGGACATTCGTGAATATATTACATCATTGTATAATGGAATATTTCAGTTACTAATGCAAGTTAGTATTCACTCAAATCTGAATTTAAAACTGAATCTGTATTATTGTAAACATGTACAATATTAATTTGAAAAGAATACGCTGAGTTTGTTGTCAGTTCTTCTCATCTCGAGATCATTCCGAACTGACGGTAGAATTGATACATCATAAGAGTCTGCATGAATAAAGATATTATGAATTTTTGAACTGAACTATAATATTGGTGTTTCGCAAACAGTTCCATATTGATTATTTGTAGTATTAATGTTTTATCTTATCTTTTTAATTAAATTTTATGAATACATAATATAAAATAGTGTCGTATAAAATAAATATGTTATCTGACACACGCCTGTTTGAGGTTTGTTAAGTTTACAACACTCAAGTGTACTAGGCCTACTATCTGTGTCATAACATACTAGTGTGTGCTCGTTTCCTCACTCGTTACAATGTTGTATTCCAAAAACTAATAGTCGAAATAGATTTGTCAGCATTATGAATTTTAAATCTTTACAAAAACATTACTATCATTTACTTTTTATCTTTAATTTTGTAATAACCTTTTTTTACAAAAGAAAATGTTTGATACGACATTTGAATTTTAAGATAGACTGGCAGTTGTTGTAAAACCTATGTAATTATCATAAAACGAATTAGTAAGTTTAGTTAAACGGCATTTAGGTAAAAGCAGTTTGTTATTTTTACATTAGTACAACATATACGTAACGTATAACGCTACCTCTTTTAAAACTGTTAATATTTTCCAGGCATTAGTGATATTTTCGGAAATGTATTGAGAAGCAACTTTGAGGAACATTTGATTCCTGTTTTTGCAAAAACAGGGAACATATTCCATAAATGTAAGTTTATGTATATGCATGTGCAATTATAAATAAATAAATAAATTGAACGAATGACTCTGTTTTGCAAAATAAATACTGTACTTATATTAGCTGCTTTACCCCATAACAACTACCATACCACATAATGCTAAAGAAATAGCTAAAGTAAATAAGTTTAATCGTGGCCACGTCGGTTAATGTCTAATTCTGCTTACAGCATATGCGACAGAACTAAGTCGACTCGCAAATTCAGAAATATTTTTGCTATTGCAACATGAAATCTAATGTGATACTTAGAAAAACATAGCATCGTCAATAATATTTATAAGTATCATCGGCAAGCAGAACTATGTCAGCTATCTTTTCTACTCTGTAAGTAATGTAATTTATGTGAACTAACAATAAAATTGGACCTAAAATAGAGCCCTGAGTAACACCCATTTTAATATTAGTTCATTCAATCGTCCGAATAAGATTTCATCGTGATAATGGCTTCATTACTAATATCGTAATGAATAATCTATAAGTTTCGTCATCAATGTAAATTCTGAGACCGGTCCCAACAGTGTAATGGTGTACCTGGGAATGAGCCAGGCGTCCCCGAGCGAGTGCCAGAGCTCGGTCTCCTTGCTGGTGACGCAGTTGGCGAGGAGGTTGAGCGCGTCGCGGGAGAGCAGCGGCTGCACCACGCGCGCCGGCAGCCGGCCGTCCGCCGCGTCCTGCGCCGCGTCCACGATCAGCGCCAGCGGCGTGAACAGGAAGTGCACCAGCTCCGGCGCGTTCGGGTCGTGGATGTGCGCGCGCAGCCGCGCCAGCAGGTTGAACGACAGCTTGAACTTCTGCAGCACGTCCACGAAGTCGCGCTCGGGCGGCGGCCGCGTGCGCAGCGCCAGCATGCCCTCCCCGGCGCCGGCTCCCCCTCCCCCTCCCCCGCCCCCTCCCCCGCCGCCGCCCGAGGACCTCTTGCCGCCGCGCGAGCGCCGCCGCCGCTCCAGCTCGCGGGACGCGGCCGCCGCGTGCTGCAGCCGCGCGATGAACTTCTCGATGTCGTCGAAGCAGCGGTTGAGGATGGCGATGTCCTGCTCGTACAGCCGCTCGGAGCCCGTCGACGACGCGTCGTCCCGGTCCGCGCCCGCCCCGCGCCCGCCGCCCAGCTGCGCCGACATTTGCTGCGGACGAACGGTTGCGTTTCATAGTTAGCGGTCCCTCCCCGTGACCCCACGCCGGGCCCCGTCGTACCGAGCCCCGTCGTACCGAGCCCCGTCGTACCGTGCCCCGTGGTACCGAGCACCGGACGCGGCGATACGGCCGGTGACTGCGGAGTAGCAAACATTGATAACGCGGTACTCCGCGACGGCTCACAACAAACAGATTTAATCGGGCCAAGTATATCTATTTATAAATTAGTAGATTATATCTTTGAAAGTTAACTTTAATCGACAAGAAAACGACGAGCGCGATTAATTAATGAAAATAATATAAAGATGTACAGAATTATGTGCGAGTTCATATTTTGTCTACGAGATCGGCGGTGTCACCGCACTTATATAATTCACGACACGACTGCATCGATATGTATGCGTATACAAATGCACTTTGGTACGTGACCGCGTGAGTAGGACGCGTGTGGGTGTAACTCACGTGGAGCACGGCCTCCCATTGCTGGCGCGTGTACGTGTGGTAGAGCCTGGGGACCGGTGGTATGATGGGCATGGTGCCGCACCTCGAACTACACTCGACTGAGCGACGGGCGGCGCTGCGGCCGGACCGCCGCCGCTATCTCGCCACTAATCTTTATCGAGCTGATTACTACTATCTCATTTATTATAATTACCATACGGCCCTAATATTGAAACTGAATAACATAAAATTTTATGACTTGGCTGAATTCTAACCTCAAATAGGGGTAGTAATATATAATAATATAGAGGTGGTTATAACATGGTCTAGAAGAGAACGAGGCTCGTCGCTCGATAAGTATGGCGGCGAGCGGCGAGCGGAACGGTAGCGGCGGAGGAATGTGTTTGTTTTTATCAGATGCAAGATAAACTAGCGATATGTAGGCTTACTGCTATCAATTATTGATTTCTGCACTATACATATTTTGGAGATCACGTCATGTTTGTTTCACGAACCTTGAATACGTATTACTAAAACCGAATCTAATCGCCACTTGTAACAGTTCTGGCATTACAAGGTTCAGGAGGCTCAATAAATATCTTTAACTAGATCATCGTGAAGGTGATATTGGTATGAGGTGCCAAAGCACATTACACGCAATATTTATCTGTCACTGTAATATCCACTTCTAACTTCTAAAAAGAACTACTCTACAGCTCAGGGTATCCATTTCAAAGTGTCTAAAAAGAACAGGTTGGGTGAACTAGTCAAAAAAGTTACATCTTATGAATATTGTTTGGTATTAAAGTGGCGTTGTTTTGAACTCAAACAGTGAACGTTATTTCCAGAGGTAGGTTTCTAATGTACGTATCACTAATCGCTAGTAACGTATAAAACACTCTACTTTTAGTGATTTTCGTTCCTATGAGGTGTCAACATGCCTACAAATTTTAATCATGATGTTGTCGTATTGATTTATGAAGGTGGAACACAACCTTTATAAGTTGTGGTGTTAATTTCGCGCATACATACTGACGGACAGCTGTACGTCAAACTGTTTCCGCTGCCTATTACTATACTTATCTTTAGTACTGTATAAAACGGTTGTTGTTTACTTTATTGCTTTAGAATTGTAACTTATGAATCACTGTGAAGATACTACAGAAAGAAAAGCGACAAATAGTTCTCACCTGCCTGCGGGGTCTGTCCATCTCGGTCTCTCTTTCTCTTTCCCTCTCCCTTTCGCGATCTATGATGAAGTCGCGGCTGGCGTCGCTGGCGACACTGTTCCCAATGCCCCTGCACGTCACAGACACAATGTTTACATAGAAAATAATTGTCAAATGCTTATATATTGCTTAACTCTAATAGTTCCGTTGAATTATTTCACTGAACATCATAATCGCAAAACGTGTGCCTATCAAGTATAGAAAACAGATCACTTGCAACATGAATATATCCTCTGAGAGAGACGATACTATTGACTGTTAATAGAGGGAATACGTCGCTACATTATCGCTGATAAGTAATCTTACCAGGAGTACGCGGAGACGGGCGGGTTAAAGATCCGGTGGATATATATCATGAGCGAGCGACATCTCACGCCACACTACGAGAGCAGACGTACAGTACAGTACGACCCAGCATCGTGCACTCAACATGCACGATAAGATTACCGTTGTAGATAGAGTACCACATGTCCTACTTTATCTTATATGTCGATCGTCTCTCGAGTTATTTCGTAATACAGTGCAGGTGTATTGAAGTGATTGATATCTACATTCATTGTACACAAAGTTGGCGAAAAACTCACATTTAAATTCATATTCAAAAATATTTTTTTATATTATAATGTTTTCCCTGCCGTCAAGTCAGTATACAGATCCAATTGAGAAGAACTGGCAAGAAACTCAATAGATTTACTTTTTTTTATTTACAATGTATATTAATATATGTGTCTATGTCTAATATTAAATGAAAATCAACTGCATGAACAACTATTGCCACGCACGCTCGTCATTCAAGTAATCGTTTGGTGAGTAGGCTTTGCTCCATAAATATGATTTAACAGATGTTTTGAATTTATTTAAGGGTAATTCCAGTATATTCTTTGGACTACGAACGATAAATATAATCATTTTATAAGAACGCCTCGACACTACTTAAATGTTATAAATTAGCTTGCCTACATATTAATTACTAATGTGATCGATATGATTAGACGTAATTAATGTTCCTTTGTACTATATATACTTGTAAATATATTTGATAAAAATAAAAATGTAAATCTGAGATTACTACGGGACTGAGCTGTAGGCTACCTACAACAAACAGTAACAGCGTTACCAGGATGTGGAGACAGGTTGGCGGGAACGACTCTTTATATTAAAAGTCACAGAGATATAATGACGGCGTTACGGAGAAGGAAATGATCGTCGGGTAGTGGTCACGTTCATTTCAGGACCTTTGACAAGGTCTAAAGTACAGAGGTCTCCGACTGGAGTGGTCTGGACCACGGTGTGGAGGACTAGCTGAAGCGATAGATTCAAATACTGCTCTATCATGTACATTAGTAGACGAACATTACGTGAGCGACAGTATTATTGTCCATAAATATAGTACATATATAGTAATAGATTATGTAATAAATGCACAGATAACCAGAAAATATGTTAATTCTCAAGATTTACAGAACAGATGCAAGGGTAGTTAAAATGCGTTTTATTGCGTAGTTTGTTGGTAAATTAAACTTCTGATATTCTGTTCTAGTAGCAATATTTGACGGAGATATTCAGTGGATTATATACAGCAGCAAATATAATTTATTCTCGATCTGATTCAGTTACGTGCACGTTACATATCAACTTTTACTTAGCAAGTTTTTGTTCTAAAATCAATGTGCCTAATAATATTTACGTAAAGGTAACGGTAACACTACTGTAGACTTATTGAGTTCATTTGTCAATTGTCTGATATATACTTATTGTGACAAAGGGACGGCCGGCACACGGGTAACGTAGGACCTTGGTTTTTGAGGTTGTCGGATGTCAGAGTGGGGAGGGTCTCACTTGAGCGCGTTGAGTTCCTCGACCAGGGTCTGCGCGCCGACGTCGTGGCACTGGAATATGTGGAGCTCACGTCGCGGCGGCTGGGCGTCGGCGGGGTGCGGCGCGGGGCCCGGCGGCGGGGAGGGGGCGGGCGCGCCCACCACGAACGCCAGCACGTTGTTGTACAGCTCCGCCGGCTCCGGGGACGTGAACGCGGTCGGGGAGTGAACCCACGACGCGGGGAACCGCTCCATTATTGACTGCAACCAACACACACACCTCATCATCATCATCTCAGCCCGGATGACGTCCACTGACTGACGACACACACACACCGTCACAGATTACCCACCACAGCGCCATCCTAGTCCCAAGCTAAGCAGAGCTATGGGTACTAGACGACTGATATGAATACATAGATACATTTTATACATACATAGAAAACATCCAGACCGATACAAACAGTCATACATGTGGGGCAACTCAGTAGAAATGCATAGGGCATTTAAGATACAAGAGAACTGCATCAGATCTCTCTGTTGTGCCAAGACCCGGGATAGTTGTAAGTCATTATGCAGCCTATATATAATATATATATATATATAATATGTATCACATATCCCGTTTTATTATTATTATTATTAGAAACATTTGTACCGTACGAGAAATCAAACCTGCGACCGTCGGAAGTATGACCAAAGACGCGGTATATCTTATATCATACATCAAATTATTCAGAATACAATTAAATTTAATTTACTTTGAATAAATGTATAAAAATTCGATTTTATTCTTCGCACGGTACAAACATTTGTATTCATGAGTATGATTGTTTGTGTCGGTCTTGATGTTTTCTATGTATAATATGTATGTAATAATATATACATAAAAAATATCTGATATAAATACATCAGTTGGCTAATACACATAACAGAAACTCTGCTTAGCTTGAGACTAGAGGGCACTGTATGAATTGTTTATTAACATATCCACTAATATTATATATATGTCTAACATATTCAACATATTGAAATTTGAAATCCCCTGACTGTACAACTAATGGAATGCACGATCGCTAAGTAATATGTCATAAGTTTTTAATTTATTTATAGATTAGCTGTACCCGCGACTTCGGCCGTGAGGAATTTTGCATCATTACTTTATTTTTCTGAAATAAAAGTAAACTAAGTTACTCCTTGTTACATCAGCTACCTATCAACAAAAGTCCAGTCAAAATCGGTCCAGCCACTTCAGAGATTAGTCGGAACAAACAGATAGACAGACAAAAAATGTTGTTTTGATTTATGTACCGTATTTATATTCATATACATGTAGTAAAAACCGGTTATTTCAATATTACAAACAGACAGTCTAATTTAATTTATATGTACAGATATATCAAAACATTCTTTAGTATCTTATTATAAAACTTAAACTACATTCCCTTAAAAGCATTATTAACTTTAGCAAACAATACTTGAGAAAAGCAAGATTATATTCGTGTCTAGTTTTAATTAATTTTATCGTAATATAAACTGTAATATTATTATAAACGTACCCCGGTCTCGTAATCCATGACTAGCACCCACTGTCCGTCCAAACACAGCTGCATTTTCTGACTCCATATTCCTGAAATACGACGTAGTTTAGTAAAGTTAATTCAATGTCTAATTAAACAGAAGGATCAGCAACATTTTTTTTTATAGTACGATGGTGGCAATCAAGCACACGGCCCATCTGATGGTAAATGGTTACCGTAGCCTATGAACGCCTGAAACACCAGGGGTGCCACGTGCGCGTTGCCGACCCTTAAGAAACTTTAATATTCAAGAAGGGTTGAAGCTCTGCCTCCAACATTATTTTTTTCTTGATTTCAGGAGCTATGTGGATGGACCACAGTGCTAATTATGGGTACTCGTTGTAAAAAACTTTTGTACACCTACATTTATTGAATCTGTTCTCGTTTTGGTTCGTATGTTGCACTGTTTCCATTCCAAGAGGCTACTCTTCTTTGGGCCGTTGTGTGTGTAGAGTCAAGGCTACTAGAGGAGCCAGCCAACTTCCTCCCAGAAGCGCAGAACCCATCTGGTCTTTTTTTGGTTTACAGGTGGAAAGTCATAAATGTTGTGTCGTCTATAGACATGAATAACATTGTGTGAAGCACAGCAGAAGAACCAGATACGAAATAAGAAAAGAACGATCAAAATCGGTACGGTATCGACATTCCATAAAAATTTAGTTCGAAACAAAAAAATACAGTCTCATTGAGAATGTCCTTCTTATTTTGAAGTACAAGAGAAACGCTAAACAGCACATGTAGTTGTGAGTTCTGAGGGTGGTACTGACCGTTAGTTTTCTCCAACTGTAGCAGCCTCCGCATGCCGTCTGCGGGGTACACGATGCCCGTCTCCCTGGTGACCGTGAAGGTGGCCAGGTGTTCGAGGACGTAGGCGGCGCGGTCGCCGCCGCCCCCCGGGCCCCCCGCCCCGCCCCCCCGCAGCCCCGCTATCTCCTCGAACTCGTCGAGCGCGCGCTGTGCGCTGCGCGACGTGCCGCTGCCCGCGCTCCGCAGCGCCATCTTGCTACCGCGAATGTCACTCGCACACATCCATCACCATCGGATATCTTCTTATTGGTCGTGACTGTCTGGTTATCTGAAATAGACAATACAAATACGCGTTAAATTGTATAACAAGTAACTGTACGTTTATTCTATAAGAGCTATTTTAGGCCAGGAAATAGTGATGCATTTACGAAGCTGATCTAAGGTGAACAACCGGTGGTGATGCGGTAAGAATACAATATGTTTCAGCTGTTACGTTCAACAACAGTCGACTGAGAGAGCATACTATAATACACTAAATGACAAAAAGAAACTCTTAACAAATCTTTGTAGTAAAATAATTGGCTAACTTCTTAACAGTAGTCTATATTTGTACATATAATAATATGTGTATATGTTTTAATGAATGATAATGGAATGATGCTCCTGTCTGCGCTAACGCTGGCGGGGCTCCAGTGGAGGATAATAACATGAACATGAGGCCAGGTCAGTTAGCCTATCGTGACAAATTCGCTAGGATTTATCATGAAGATTTCCAGAAAGAACCACTTGCAAGTCAAACTGATATGGTACATAAGGTATTAGCAATTAGGTCATCAGTCCACTTTACTAACAATCTCCTCTCCCTTCCTAGGCTAATATTATATATTGTTATGGTCGTTATGATAACAACAAGTTACGTGGAGAGATCTCAGCGCTTCGCTTTCTTTGCTTACTGTTATGAAAACAAGGAATGTATTGTTACTTAACACACCGGGCGTTACAAAACGTATAAAACAATAGGAAAGGTAAAATTTTGTGAAGTGAATTTACGCAGTGGCGTTCAGGCAGACATATTAGAGTTACGTTATAAGGAATAAAAAAATTACAATAAGATACCAAAGAATATACTGGAATTACCCTTACATAAATTCAAAACATCTGTTAAATCATATTTACTGAGCAAAGCCTAACACACTAAACGATTACTTGATTGACGAGCGTGCATGGCAATAGTTGTTCATGCATAATGTTAGACATAGACACCTATATACATTGTAAAAAAGTATACTTTAAAAAAAAGTAATTGAATTGAGTTTCTTGCCAGTTCTTCTCAATTGTATCTATATACTGAACTGGACGGTAGGGAAAATATTATAATATAAAAAAAATACGTTCATAAGCGGCTAAAATGTCCTACAAGAATAAATGATTTCTGAATTTGAATTTGAAACGTAGTTATGTGATACCGGACGTGGTGCCGACAGCGATCAGTGCGAAACTTCGTGCCACTAGCACGTGGACGTGCCGCGCATCACAACCACCACCCGCCGACCAGTGGCAGGGGGGGGGGGGGGGGGACACTGGCGACCACACCACGGACACTGTCACCGAGTGGACGCGACGCCATCTTTACTACATCACATTCATTGACACGTCACAGTCGGTGTGGTTTTTATTTAGTAGTCGATCAGTATATATATATATAATAGGAGACCCGTCCACGCGTGGCTGTCTTAAAATAATATTGCGTCAATAAATTGACGTCATTTACTTGAGATGTAAGCTATCCTATCTTTCAAGTTGGATCAAATTTCACACAATGTTCAAATCAAATTTGCAATCGGTTCAGTAGTTTAGGAGTCCATCGCGGACAAACAACGTGACACGTAATTTTTATTTGTAACGATTGTACATCGTGATTCTGTCATGTAGTCGTCTCACAATTTAATTTTAAACTTAATGATAATCATCCTTTTTAAACTACATCATGGCCTTCAAAAGTAAGGACCCTTACTATTTGGGTCTGACTCTCGCAGGTACCGTCTATATACGACTGAAACAACAGGGATGTTGTAGATCATGCACTGTCTCATGGCGGAGCAGTGGCGTACATACGTGAGGCGAGTACAGAATGTTAATGAGGTAAGAGCTGCGCGTAAGGACAAATAGAATGATAATCGGCACTCTCTGCTTTCTTTAAATATGCCAGCGTAGCGGGTTCTGTGTTGATTGCCGCATGCATCCTCATGTAAAGTGCGAATACTGTAACTACCATATAGTAATTTTAAGTAGCTGTGACGAGGTCGAGTGGAATGAGTAGTCATGCTCACTAAAATGTCCAGACGTGTGGCGGCGTCATGGGCCGGGTCATGAGGATCGCTAAAATAAAGGCGATGGCTGGCTCATCCGTCATACTCGTGAACGCGTGCTGCTTGTAGGGACTGTTCTGCTCTTATCACTACGACTGATTTAATCTAATTGTGTTTTTATATTTGACCCTAACATATTAGTACTGGTTGGTAGTTTGTATTCACAAGTTACGACTTGAAAAATGTGAACTTACGAGGATTATTTAAAAGAGCAACACACAAGTCTCTTGCTCGTTCTTCTTGTGATGAGGCTTTCCGAATGAGCGGTAGATTAAAAAAAAATGTTATGACTATTAAAAAGTGTTTAAATTATTTTTTTTTAAATAAAATATTTTCTATTCTGGCTAGTCCGTGAGGCGCTGCCGTGAAGATAAATAGAGGACGTGGTAGTGGTGCGGTCTTTATAAATGTATGTACGACATATGCATGCCACTAGGGCCGCCTGACAAACCACTTTCGTATCTTCCAACTGCGGAACTGGTTTGTTGGGACTACACTGACGCGAGCGCCGCGCCGCGCCGCCACACCAACTATTATACATTGGAATGTATTTTCATTAATACACTTATTATTATCTATTACAGTTTAGAAATTATCAAAAATGTTCTCGTTTTTCAATTCAACACACAAGTTTCTTACTCATTCTTCTTGTGATGAGTCTGCATTCTGAATGAGAGGTAGAATAAAAAAAATGTGACTATTCAAAAATGCTTATATTAAGTTTATTTCAATAAAGATTATTTCTATTTCAAATGTATTTTGCGCGAGTTAAATGATTACATCGTCAAATACGATTGAATGAAAAAAAGGAAAATATTGTAGTATAACTATTTATGACTGGAGAATATGTAGTATAACTATTTATGACTGGAAAAATGTATATAATGGTAAGATGGTAGACAGTGAAGAGATATCATATATAATTTTGTTTTTATACTTTGGATTATAGAATACAAGAAAACTTCAAATATATTAATATAAAAACAGTTTCTTAAAAGAAAAAATGAGCGGATAAATATATGTCTATAATAGTAGTAGTGGGAGCCCGCGCGGCGCCGGCGCCGGCGGTGTTCACTTGTAGGGTTTAGATGCTTGGTATAATATGTTATCTGTGCTGGCCACACAGCGCCGCTTGTTTTATTTTTATTGCATTGCTTGGAAAAAAATAACAAAATGAAGTCTTACTACCTATTTATGTTGTTTGTAATATACTTCTGAGGCAATAAAGAGTAAGTAAATAAACAAATAATAAAATAAATTCATTAAAACATTGATTGATTTTGTTAATTATTTCTCAACCAAGTTTGTTATATTTTATATCTCATATATGCCCTGTCCTTGTTGTCAGTACTTATACATAGTATTTGCATTTTCTGTACTTATAATAAATCTATAGAGAGGTCAATTCTGTACATGAAGTATATTTCCAAAACAACTATCATGCCAAAAATGCAATCAGTAAAATTTTTGTATGTCTGTCTGTATGTTCGTTATAGAAACAAAAACTACTCGACGGATTTTAACGAAATTTGTTACAATGGTATTCTTCATACTCCTGGGCAGGTTATAGTATACTTTTCATCACGCTACGATCAATAGGAGCAGAGCAGTGAAGGGAAATGTTAGGGCAACACATCAAAACCACTGAACCGTGAGGAAGGACATGGGCTACTTATTTTACGAAAATCAACGGAACGACAGACGAAGTCGCAGGCAACAGCTAGTTTTTTAATATAACAATATAGTACTTGTGATGGCAGTTCATTACAAAGGTTCTTTTGTAATAATATTTAATTTGTTTCACCGTATTCTTAAGATATATCTTTCTAATACACGCTACGTTTCAAATTGCGTATTTCACCGCGGTGTTAATATCCTCCCACGGCCCGCGTGCCCCCCGCCCCCCGCCCCCCGCGCCCCCCTCACCACCAAACAAACACCACACGAATATAGAACGGCATGGTGCGAGCTGTGAGTGTGTGTGTGTGTGTGTGTGTGTGAGTCATGTGTGCCAGCCAACACTACGCACGAGTACAGGCACGGCCGCCTTATCACAAAACAATTACACTATCGCGAACACCAGAGATATTTTTTTCTAAATATTCTGATGGACAGAGTTGACATAAAAAAAATTGATTATTTAATTGAATTAGTGCTAATTGGTAGTTTGTATTCACACACTTAAACTTAAAATGTAAAATAATAATAAAATTATTTAAAAGAGCAACACACAAGTTTCTTGCTCGTACACACAATATCGCGCATTCAACCGGACGCCTGCGCGCGCGTCCGGGCGCTCCACACCGGCGCCCCCGGGCGCCCCTCCGATCGATCCCCCGTCCAATTCAAACGGGGATCGATATTACGACGGCCTGAACCAAGGTTCGAACCCCTAGTGGTGCCCTCAGACTAAAGTCGTATCCGTCGGGCAGGAGTTGGCCTTCAGCCGCTCCATAAGTCCTTCCTTTGGTTTGGAGTGCCATCTGCACTCGCCCCCTATCGTCCGGTGAAGCTGTAAAGGCCAGCTGCAGCCAACAGCATTAGAGTAGACCGAAAAAACAAATTCTTGCTCGTTCTTATTGTGATGTAATGATTATTTTATGTTTATTTTTAATTATGGTAAAATAAGTTTAATTATATATACATTTTATTTACTCTTTTTTTTCGTTTGTTGTTTATATTGTATTTTTAACATTGCACTGAATAAAATATTTTTCTTTCTTTCTTTCTTTCTTCTTGTGATGAGATTAAGTTTCCAAATGAGCGGTAGATTAAAAAAAATGTGATGACTATTCAAAGGTATTATTTGAATAAATGATTTTCTATTCTATTTTATTCTTACGGTTACGACTTTAGTTTACGACACAATCCTCTTGTTGTTATACCATCAAGTCGTGTATATGTGTGTGTGTATGTGTAATGTGTATGTATAGTATCATTTGCTATTTATAAATTGTAC